CCGCTCTTGCCCAGTTCAGGTTGACAACTATGAGGATTATGAGGTACAATCTATCATTGACTCCCGTGGGTTTTGTGGATGCATACAATATCTACTTCACTGGAGGAGTTACGGTCTGGAGGAATGCTCTTTAGTCTCATACGTTTTCACTCAAGCCTGCTGGCCCCAGGGGGAGGGGATGTTAAGGAGGGGGGGTACTGTCTTTCTGTGCTCCAAAGCTGCTCAGCTGTTGGTTAATTTCCAGCTACTCATTGTCTCCACAGTTACTTACCTGGATACCATTACCTGCCTCATTAGTCAAGCCTACATCCAGCCCTATTTTAGCAGCTTAGCTCATTTCCTCCTTGCTCTTGCTTGGACTATGATCTCCAGTGTGTTCTTGCCTGTATTCTTGTGTACAGCTTGGTCTGGCTGACTTCTTTTCCAATTCCTGTTGCTGATTTTTGGCTCCTGAATATGCTGACATCTGGTTTCCTGACTCTGGCTTGTCTGATAACTTGCCCTGGCATCCAAATCCTGGCTTCTGTTTTGACTACATTTCTGAACTATGTTATATTTGCTATTTTATTAAAGGTGTGATTTTAACTGCACTTACTTTCTGTCTCTGCCTGGTTCATGGTCCCAACAATAACAGTGTATTCAATGCACCCTTGTGGCTGATAGAGACCAGTGTTTGAAAAAGACTAGAAAAACCTAATGTGAATAAATCACCAGGACCAGGTGGCTTACACCAGAGAGTTCTCAAAGAAGCCTCCATAGCTATTCCATTGTTCCTAATTTTTAACAACAGCTTACTGTCTGGGATGGTACCAGCTGATTGGAGAAAAAAGAAAATGTGGTGCCAATATTCAAAAAAGAGCAAAGATATATATCTGGAAACTACAGACCAGTCAGCCTAACATCATTAGCAAGTAAACTATTGGAAGAACTGATAAGAGACCATATTTAAGAATTTGCTGATGAAAATATTATCATTAGTAGTAACCAACATGGATTTATCAAAAACTGTTCTTGCCAGACAAACCTTTTAACCTTATGAGAAGTTGAGCTGTAATTTGAATAGATGAAGGCCTGTGGATGCAGTGCATTTAGATTTCGCTAAGGCATTTGATACAGTATCCTACAAATGATTTATGTACAAATTAAGATAAGTATGGGATTTAATTTTTTTTTAATTACCTACTTACCTAGGTGGATTTACCATCGGTCTGCATATGCTCTCTCGGATGCTGCATATGTCTCTCGCCAGCTCTAAGTGTGAGAATTCAGCAGCCGCATGACCACTGATCGCTAAGTTCTCACAGCTGCTCTGAGCAGAGAGCAGTGAGCAGTGAGCAGTGAGCACTGTGTTCAAGTCTGATTACCTTTTAACAGCTCTTGTATATTTTATCATAATTCTCAAAAAATTAAACCATTCAGATTTTGATTTTGAAAAACCATGTTCTGATTGAGTATGGCAATTAGTCTGCTATACTCTGCTATAGCCTGCTAAATGTTTTGACAATAGAAACAGTTTAAAAGATAAGTAGGGTTCCCCCCCCCCCATTTATACTTACCTAGGTGGATGCAGCATCAGCCCCATCTAAGTGTGAGAACTCAGCGATCACATGAACATTGACGGCTGCTTTCTCCTCTACACTCTGAGCAGAGAGCGGTGACTGTCAGTCCCGCTCTCTGCTCTGCCCCAACTGCGCTCACTGGAGCGCTGGGCTGTGGAGGGGTGCGGCTAGTTCCAGCTCTCAGTGGATTGCTGGGAGGCTGAACCAGGTGCCTCTCCAGACTTTAAAGTCAGGATCTTTCCCCAACCTGGACCAACTGAGTGACGTTAGCCAACAGTGGGATTCTGCCCACTGTCAGCTGAAAATGGGTCACAGAAGTGCAGAATGAACTTTCACAGGAGAAGTACAGCCAAAAGAGCTTTGGCTGTACTTTTCCTTTAAGATCTTTTGGCATTGATGACATGGTATGTACCTGGATAGAAAACTGGTTCCATGTGTGTCTGGAAGGCGGTGATTAATGGCATGTTTTCTGATGGGTCTGGATTCTGAACAGGGTGCCCCAGGGCTCTGTACTGGGACTAATTCTGTGTAACTTGTAACAAGGTAGTCAGGTGTCCAGAAATCAAAGGCACACAATCCCAAGTACAAGAGATACAAAAGATATTAACAGAGAAAGGGGATTTTTAGCCGTGCCAATGTATAATCCAACACAATAATCCAAAGTTATATTAAAAAAAAAATTTTGAATGACAACATACCAAAGCAAACACCATAAGTATGGTAACACTTAATACAATTGAAGTCAAGGTGAACATTGTTACAGCAGCTTCTACTCAACATGTTTCGCCAAAATCTGACTTCTTCAGGAGTTATATGAGCACTGCACATGATGTCACTATTAGATAAAATATATATAAACAAAAGCATTACACCATATATCAAATCACATTCATCAGTAAATAAACATTAACAAATATTCCATACAATAATTAATTCCTTATGAGTGTCATACCTAGGGGTTCAAAAGAATCACACTGCATGCTTTAATATATTTAAAAGACTTCTGCAGCAATGCAGGGGGCCAATCTAGGGTGATATCACTGGCCATAGGGGAGACAGGTTATCCCAAATTATTTCCTGAGAACATAGGTTATATTCTAATTTAATTAATTAGAACATTACCTATAATTGCAGGAAATAATTTTGCCTGCAAAACTGAAAAAAATTATGGTACACAAAATTATCAATAGGAGAAATGTTATATGTCTTTTCACCACATCAGTTTAGAGTAAACAACAAATGATGTCACTAGAATTATTGCTCTCTCTCTAGCATTTGTGGCAATGTATAATGCATGTGGTGCAATTGCTGTTTACATACACTTTGGAATCATGGAGGGGGTGGCTATCACACTGCCAATACTGTAAAATTGATACTGCAGCCATGAGTTTTTTTTTTAAACCCTTCACACTCTGGACATACTGTAGGTAGCATGTCCAAACAGGCAGAGTGGTTAAAGGAGAAATTTTGTAATGTAATAATGTTAGGAATGGACTGGCCAGCAATGGTGGGACTCACCTGCCTTTTGATCTGCAGTACAGGGCTGGGCCAGCGGGTGCTCCCAGCAATCAGAGACTCAACCTTTCAGCCAGCTAACACCTGGAACTGATGATGCTGGGGTATTTAAGGGATGGCCAGACCCACAGACTCTGCCTTGGTGTTTGTGTTTGTCCTGGGCCCTGTATCTGTCCTGCATCCTGTTTCTGTCCCTCTGCCTGACCCTCTGTACTACGCTGCTTGTTACCTGTTTTGATCTCTGGCTTGTGACCCTGACCATCCCTCTGCCTGACCCTCTGTACTACGCTGCTTGCTACCTGCTGAACCTGGCCTGTGACCCCGACCATTCTCTGCTTGCTCCCCCTGTACCTACCTGCCCAATTGATATTGACCCGGCCTGCCTGACGACGCTTGCTTGTATGTACTGTTATCTGTGGGTGGTTGGTTTGGTTTGTTTGCACTGTATTATGTTTAGTATTGCACTGCGTTTATGTTTGTATGGTTAGTGTTAATAAATTGTATTGTTTATCACATATCTGAAGTCTGCGTTTCCCTGCATCAGTCACACACCTCTGGTCATACCTGGGAGCCCTGACATTACACCAAGGCCAATCCTGACCAGAAGTGGCTGCACAGGGAAGCCATCTTGGCTTGTTGATGGGAAGGATGGATCTTGATGAGGTTGAATATTTATATCTGCTAGTGTTTGATGACAGAGAGTATGCTTATCAGACTCTGAAGGAGTATACCCAGGATGAACTGCTAGAATGTATACGGCTCGCTCATGTTCTAGTAGATCAGGGCACAGAATTCTCTGAGGTGCAGCCTTTGATTGAGGTTTGTGCTGAGTTGGTTTCATCTGGTTCCCCCGAATGCAGGGATGAATTTTTGCCACCATTTAGTGCAGACCAGGTAGAGTCCCTGGTGTGGTTATTAGAGGATGATGTGGGTTACTTTCTGGAGCGTTATTCCACATGTTCACCACAGACACTAAGAGATTGTATAAACGCAGTGCAGTCATTGACCAGACAGGCTTTGTGTAAGCTCAGCTTTGTTCAACCCATACTGCAGACATGGACAGACTTGTTGCACCCAGCCTCAGTCAGCTTACAAAGACCCAGTCCTGCTTCTAATCTATTTCCTCAAAACTCTATTCCTGCATTCCCAACAGCTCCTCCTGCCCTGCTATCTACCGCATGTCAGTACCCTGTTCCCACTCGCTGCACCTATCCTGCCTTTAACCCTGTAAAAGAGCCCTCTGTAGCAACCGCTCCCTCTCCTGTTCCATCCTCCAGTTCTTCTCTGTCTCCAGCTGCTCCATTCGTTTGCAGACCTGCGTTTACTTGCTGTGCTCCAGTAGTTAAAACCAGAAAAAAGCGAAAATTCTTTCCAACCAATACCATCCTGCCAGTATCCAAACCGGTGAGCCTGCCTTCCGTGGTTCAGCCTGAAGCCTCTACTCAGCCTGATGCCTGTACGCAGCCTGATGCCTGTACGCAGCCTGATGCCTCTACTCGGCCTGATGCCTCTACTCGGCCTGATGCCTCTACTCGGCCTGATGCCTCTCTTCGGCCTGATGCCTCTCTTCGGCCTGATGCCTCTCTTCGGCCTGATGCCTCTCTTCGGCCTGATGCCTCTACTCGGCCTGATGCCTCTACTCGGCCTGAAGCCTCTACTCGGCCTGAAGCCTCTACTCGGCCTGATGCCTCTACTCGGCCTGAAGCCGTCCTACTTAAGCCTCTACTCGGGCCTGAAGCCTCTACTCGGCCTGATGCCTCTACTCGGCCTGATGCCTCTACTCGGCCTGAAGCCTCTACTCGGCCTGAAGAAGCCTCTACTCGGCCTGAAGCCTCTACTCGGCCGGACGCCGGCATTCAGCCTGATGCCTCTACCCAGCATGATGAACTGATCCAGCCTGACGATCCTATTAGGCCAGTTGACTCGATGCCCGCTGTTGATCCAGATGATCCGGTACCTGATCCGGTGCCCGCTGTCGAGCCAAATGACCTGATGCCTGGTGACCCAGTGCCCGCTGTCATACCTGATGACCCGGTGCTCACTGTCGTGCCTGTTGACTCAGAGCCCACTGCCTTGCCAGATGACGCGGTGCCCGCTGTCGAGCCAAATGACCTGATGCCTGGTGACCCAGTGCCCGCTATCCAGCCAGACGATCCAATGTCTGACCCAGTGCCCGCGGTCATACCAGTTGACTCGGAGCCCATGCCTTGCCAGATGACGCGGTGCCCGCTGTCGAGCCAAATGACCTGATGCCTGGTGACCCGATGCCCGCTGTCCAGCCAGACGATCCCAATGTCTGACCCAGTGCCAGCGGTCATCCCAGTTGACTCGGAGCCCACGGTTGTGCCTGGTGACTCGGTGCCCCGCCGCCCCCGCCTGGGGGCCTGAGACCTGTCGTTCCGCCTGGGGGTCCGGCGCCCGCCACGCCTCCGCCTGAGGGTCCGAGCCGGCCCCGCCCCGCCTGAGGGCCCTGTCGCTCCGCCTGGGGGTCCGGCGCCCGCCGCTCCGCTTGAGGGCCCGAGACCTGTCGCTCCTCCTGGGGGTCCAGCGCCCGCCGCTCCGCCTGAGGGCCCGAGACCTGTCGCTCCGCCTGGGGGTCCGGCGCCCGCCGCTCCGCCTGAGGGCCCGAGACCTGTCGCTCCGCGCCTGGGGTCCGGCGCCCGCCGCTCCGCCTGAGGGCCCGAGACCTGTCGCTCCACCTGGGGGTCCGGCGCCCGCCGCCCCACCTGGGGGCCCGAGACTGTCGTTCCGCCTGGGGGTCCGGCGCCCGCCACTCCGCCTGAGGGTCCGAGACCTGTCGCTCCACCTGGGGGTCCGGCGCCCGCCGCTCCGCCTGAGGGCCCGAGACCTGTCGCTCCACCTGGGGGTCCGGCGCCCGCCGCTCCGCCTCCGCCTGAGGGCCCGAGACCTGTCGCTCCACCTGGGGGTCCGGCGCCCGCCGCTCCGCCTGAGGGCCCGAGACCTGTCGCTCCTCCTGGGGGTCCGCCCGCGCCCGCCGCTCCGCCTGAGGGCCCGAGACCTGTCGCTCCTCCTGGGGGTCTGGCGCCCGCCGCTCCGCCTGAGGGCCCGAGACCTGTCGCTCCGCCTGGGGGCACGATGCCTGTCGCCCCAGCCTGGGGGCACGATGCCTGTCGCCCCGCCTGGGGGGCACGATGCCTGTCGCCCCGCCTGGGGGCACGATGCCTGTCGCCCCTCCTGGGGGCCCGGCGCCCGCCGCCCGCCCTGGGGGCCCGACGCCTGTCGCCCCGCCCGGGGGCCCGACGCCTGCTGCTCCGCCCGGGGGCCCGACGCCTGCTGCTCCACCCGGGGGCCCGGCGCCTGCTGCCCCGCCCCGGGGGCCCGGCGCCTGCTGCTCCGCCCGGGGGCCCGGTGCCTGCTGCTCCGCCTGGTGGCCCGCCCCTGCCTGCTGCTTCGCCTGGTAATCCGATGTGCCTCTGCCCGGAGTCCTGCCCGATGTGCCTCTGCCCGGAGTCCTGCCCGATGTGCCTCTGCCCGGAGTCCTGCCCCGATGTGCCTCTGCCCGGAGTCCTGCCCGATGTGCCTCTGCCCGGAGTCCTGCCCGATGTGCCTCTGCCCGATGTGCCTCTGCCCGATGTGCCTCTGCCCGGTGTGCCTCTGCCCGGTGTGCCTCTGCCCGATGTGCCTCTGCCCGGAGTCCTGCCCGATGTGCCTCTGCCCGGAGTCCTGCCCGATGTGCCTCTGCCCGATGTGCCTCTGCCTGATGTGCCTCTGCCCGGTGTGCCTCTGCCCGGTGTGCCTCTGCTCGATGTGCCTCTGCCCGGAGTCCAGCCCGGTGTGCCTCTGCCCGGAGTCCAGCCCGGTGTGCCTCTGCCCGGAGTCCAGCCCGGTGTGCCAGTCTTTGTTATCCCGCCAGTTACCAGACCCGGGCGGTGGAACATTTTGCCCAGCTAGGACTGTTTGGAGCGTCCTGAGGCCGCTCCTTGGGGGGGGGTACTGTTAGGAATGGACTGGCCAGCAATGGTGGGACTCACCTGCCCTTTTGATCTGCAGTACCAGGGCTGGCCAGCGGGTGCTCCCAGCAATCAGAGACTCAACCTTTCAGCCAGCTAACACCTGGAACTGATGATGCTGGGGTATTTAAGGGATGGCCAGACCCACAGGCTCTGCCTTGGTGTTGTGTTTGTCCTGGGCCCTGTATCTGTCCTGCATCCTGTTTCTGTCCCTCTGCCTGACCCTCTGTACTATGCTGCTTGTTACCTGTTTTGATCTCTGGCTTGTGACCCTGACCATCCCTCTGCCTGACCCTCTGTACTACGCTGCTTGCTACCTGCTGAACCTGGCCTGTGACCCCGACCATTCTCTGCTTGCTCCCCCTGTACCTACCTGCCCAATTGATATTGACCCGGCCTGCCTGACGACGCTTGCTTGTATGTACTGTTATCTGTGGGTGGTTGGTTTGGTTTGTTTGCACTGTATTATGTTTAGTATTGCACTGCGTTTATGTTTGTATGGTTAGTGTTAATAAATTGTATTGTTTATCACATATCTGAAGTCTGCGTTTCCCTGCATCAGTCACACACCTCTGGTCATACCTGGGAGCCCTGACAAATAAACCTTACCTGGGTATTTTTCTTTTTTACCTCTCACATTCATTTGAATGATCAATGATTCATAGCCAGGAGGAAATTCCTTACCAAGAGGTAGTACGTTAGGGACTCCAAGGCTCACTTGCTAGGCACTCTTGCTTCACTATACTGGTTTCAGTTTTAGTTGAGGTAAACCATGGTCTGTTCTTCCCCATTTGCTAACAACAAGAGGACTGTGCCAATGCCCACACTAGAGGTGTTTGCATGAACCACAAATTCTCTCTTGAAGTCAGGAGAAACTAAGATGTTTCAGTTGTCGAAATGCACTTTCTGTTTCAGGGTTCCATTTAACCATTGCAGACACCCTGCTTTCAGATAGGTCTGTCAAGGGTGATGAAATGAAAGTAAACTTAGGGATGAATCTCCTATAGCAGCCGACTATACCTAGGAAGAATTTCACTTGCCTTTTGGTCACCTTTTGTCACGTCCTTCCATTTTGCGTCCAAAACAGCCATGAGTTTCTCAGTCTGCACTAAAAATGACCATATCATCTAGGTAGGTTGCTGAATACTGGTGTGATGAAAGGATCTTGAGTATAGCAGGTTGCCTGAGGCCCCTTACTAGTGAAAAAAAGTATGCAGACATACAAGAACAATCCCTCTGGTGTAGCAAAAGAGGCCTTTTCTTTGGTGCAATCAATAAGGAGGATTTGCCAGTACCCCTTTGTCAAGATCAAGGTGTATATGAACTGGGTTCATCCTGGCCCCTCTATTAATTTGTCTACTCATGGAATGGCATAGGCATCAAATTTTGACACCTTGTTCAGCTTCCTAAAGTCTTTGTGAAAGCTTATCAAGCCATCAGTTTAATAACAAGCATAATAGGACTGCACCACTCACTCTTGCACCTGTCCATTATCCCAAAAGCAAACATTTTCTGCATCTCATCTGCTTTAGCCTGTCTCTATGTTTCCGGTATTCAATAAAACTTTAACAAGACACAATCTTGGGGTTTTGTGAATATGTCACACTTAGGGGGAGATTCGCTAGAACTGGTGCACACAAAATCTGGTGCAGCTGTGCATAATAACCAATCAGCTTTTCTTGCCAAAGTTTAATTGAACAAGTTGACATTAAAAGCTGATTGGTTACTATGCACTGCTGCACCAGATTCTGTATGCACCACTTTTCATAACTTTCCCCCTTAGTCTAAGTGTAGCTAAGATTTAAAAAAAATCAGCACAATGGACATAACTTAAAGTCAGTAGGATGTGCCTATTGTGCCGATTTCCTTTTTTCCTTTTCTTTTTCTTCCATCCCTGCCCAACCCCTGTCGCCACTGTAATCATATGGTCCAGTGGGGGTTCATGACTTTATGCAATAAGCCAAGGACCACAGCTACTTCATAGGTCACTTTCATCCTTTACAGAATCATCTTCAACTGTTGCCATGAATAGATAGAACCAAATTATATAACCTCACGTGTCTCTAGGATTTACCAGGCCCACCACAACCAACGTAATTCAACTTCTAGAATTCAATAGTGCTAGGGTAGACTTCTCAGCAAATTTTACAATACAGTCAGGGTAGGCACAGTTAATGGTACACTCCAGTCAGGAATACAGGGAGAGGTGCTTGGCCATGCCACAGTTTATTGGCTCCTCCCACTTTACAGGAGACAGAGACAAAACCAGAATCACAGCAGAGAAAACAGGTCATGTGGTGGCAAGACCAATGCTCAGTTGCTTCCTGGGCAGAGCAGAAGTGGTTGAAGCAGCTAAGAGCCAGGCCTCAGTAGTGAGATAGCTTTCAACACCAATCACAGATGAAAATGGTCCATGGTTACCCCTTCTGTGATCTGGGCTGCCCTTAACAGCACTGGCTGGAGATATTTCTTTACAGGATGGGTCAGTTCATGCATCTCAGCAAAGAGTGACCTTTCCAACTATCACAATAGTCACACCCAGCAGATGAAAAATCTCTGCCTTCAGCCATTCATAATCTGCAGCCACCTCCAGATTTTATTTATTTATTTATCGAGTTTATATAGCGCCAAAGGGTTTGCTCAGCGCTGTACAATAGAGGGGGGGACAATACATGAAACAGTACAGTAACATCAAACAGCACACAAGGGGTAAGAGGGCCCTACTCTTTCGAGCTTACAATCTAGGATCCAGGTCAAAGTATTTTTGCTGAGCATTGCCAGAGAGTAAAGGTGCATTGCTCCTTGAGAAACTGTTCCCAGTGTAGGATCCTCTCAAATGTGTAAAGGAAGGCTTCTATGTTGATGTATGGAGGTAATAGCTAGCCAATACACTGTAGTTAGGGCTACTTGCCACTGTACTGGGATCTTGTTGATTCAGCTGTTGCACAAAGGCAGTAAACTCCTCCCACTTCCAGGATCTGCTGTTGTCCCTCCAGGAGGGCTGTTCTGCAGAAATTGTCCTCCTTTCTAGCATCCTGTAGTACTTTGGTTAGATTTCTCTGAGGCCCACAGTTATGTCTAAGTGGTCTCCAGCTCTGAATCTGCATCTGTAGTCTGGACAAGGGCCTTCATTGCATCCTCTATTTTAGAGGCAACAGCAGCAATTTTCTGCAGATTTAGTGTGTGTTCCTTTAAATTCAAACTTATCTTTCTAGGGACTCACTGCCCACATTGGACGTCCAATTGTGACAGATATTGTGCTCAGCTGGTAGCTCTATGAAGTTTTTTATAAAGAGACATGGACTTTATAGTCACTACAAATTTCCATTACAACTTAAACAATTTTATTGAAAATTCACAGGTAAAACATTATTCAGAATCATGATTACAACATATTAAAAGAACTTTCCAAAACTACCCAAGTACTATCAAGTCCCCATATAATGTGTGTTGATCATAGCTTGGCAAGGTTCTAGGTGGTGCTTCTTGATTATGTTGAAGCTCAATATGTTTTGCAATAACAATTGTATCTTCTGGAGCTGTATTAGATATTTTAAATAAGCAAGGAAATAGGCATTATACAACTGGTATGCATAAATCATCAACACAATATTGTTCTACAACAAAAGTAAAAAATGTGTACACCTGTGGAATGGTACCAAACGAAGGCACCTAAAAACCTCCATAGATGACACTTGAAAAGCCTTCACAGGTTACCAGTTTAGAGTTTATTTATTTCAGGTACTTATATAGTGCCATCAATTTACACAGCACTTTACATACATATATATTGTACATTCACATCAGTCCCTAACCCTCAAGGGGCATACAATCTAAGGTCCCTAGCTCACATTCATACACAGACTAGGGCCAATTTAGACAGGATCCAATTAAACTACCAGCATGTCTTTGGAGTGTGGGAGGAAACCCACGCAGTCACAGGGAGAACATGCAAACTCCAGGCAGGTGGTGCCATGGTTGGGATTCGAACCAGCGACCCTAGTACTGCCAGGTGGAAGTGCTAACCATTTAGCCATTGTGCTGCTCAGAGTTGCATAGGAAGTCTGGATAAAAAATTATTGCTCTCTCTCTGACTTTCGTGACA